TTAAAGACATCAGATGCTTGCGAAGGCCAACAACATGTTATTGAAACTTTAAGCAATGAAGAAAAAATAATTATATCTTTACACTGTAATATTGAATTATCAAACTTAGAAATATTATGTGAAAGACATAATACAAAATATTTGAAAATGTATCCTATATGGCAGAAAGCTTGTTGTGATCCATTCAATAGACATACAAAGAAAATCACAAGTATGTAGCTGTAAAATTTAAATATTTCATTAATTTATGTTTTTCAAAAAATAAACGAAAGTTTTGAACTAATGTGCAGACATACTTTATACAATTCAATTACTTTTAGAAAATCTTGGCGTAGTTACAATAAAAGAGTCACAAGTCATGATGAGAAATAGTTTAAATATTCCTCCTGGGAAGAAACTTTGCAAATCTTGTAAACAAAAGATTGCCAGAAAAAAAGAACTTACAGAAGAGGAGCAAAGTAAGAGTGAACAAGATGAGGATTTTCTAATATCACCATGCAAAAAAATAAGACAGGAGATCAATAAAGAACTCAAAAATTTTAGTTTATCTCCTCTAAAATCTCATTCAAAATCATTAAAACATATACTGTCAGAAGGAAAGCAAAAAGTTGCATGCATCAACGAAATGGCGTATAACGCTACTAGAAAAATTGAAACTCAATTTTCCTCAAAACTATGTTATGAAACCAATGGGATGAAAAAGAAGGCTGCAAACTTTGATGAAATTATGAGCTTGGTAAAAGAAAAAATTCTATGTTCTGACAAACAAACTATTGTTCAACTTCTAACACTGGCACCCCCAAGTTGGTCAATATTAGAAGTACAAAATAACTTTTCGGTTACAGAATACCAGGCCAAGATGGCTAGAAAAATTTTTAATAAAAAAGGATTGTTAGGTATCTCTCCATTGTATAAGGGTAAAGTCTTACATAAAAAAATAGAAGATTCAGTTAAATTGTTTTATGACTCAAGTGATTTATGTCGAACTATGCCTGGAAAAAAAGATTATGTCAGCATTCAAAAGAACGTCCACAAACAAAAAAAACTGCTTTTGTGTAATTTAAAGGAACTATATGTATTATACAAAGAAAACAATCCAGAAATACAAATAAGTTACTCAAAATTTGCTTCACTTAGACCAAAGTGGTGCATTTTGCCAGGTGCAAGTGGTACACATTCTGTTTGTGTTTGTTCTTATCACCAAAATGCCATTTTGCTAGTGGATGCCTTAAATATTGAACTAACGTATAAGGATTTACTTTTGAAAACTGTTTGCTCAGTAGAAAACAAAGAATGCATGCTTGCACAGTGTGATAATTGTCCTGGTAAAGAACTGCTCACCATGTATTTGTATGAGATTTTTGGAGAATACGAAGATGATTTTGAGATACACTACAAACAATGGCAAACTACTGATCGTGCAACACTATTGAGTTTAACAACAGATGTTCCAACGTTTATTGAACTATTGGTATCTTGTTTTGAAAAGCTACAATCTCATTCTTATATTGCCAAATCTCAATCACAATACCTTAATCAACTAAAAGAAAATATGGATCAATCAAACATTATCATTCTTGGCGACTTTGCTGAAAATTATGCTTTTGTAGTCCTAGATGAAATTCAGAGCTATCACTGGAACACCCAACAATGTTCTTTACATCCATTAGTGATATACTATAAAGAAGAAAATGGTGTAGTGAAACATATTTCTTACTGTTTTATATCAGACGACATTACACACGATGTAACTTATGTATACAAGATATTTCAACTAATTATACCAATATTAAAAACAAAATTTCTTGATTTATCCAAATTGCATTTATTCACTGATGGTTGTGCAGGACAGTACAAAAATTGTAAAAGCTTTTACAATCTATGCCAACTAGAGACAGAATTTTCCCTCAAAATTGAATGGAACTTTTTTGCCACGTCCCACCGAAAGTCACCATGCGATGGAATTGGTGGTACTGTAAAAAGGTAAACAGCACAAGAAAGTTTAAAACGACCATACAGAAACCAAATTCTCACATCAGAGGCTATGTATGAATTTTGTGTTGAGAAAATTAAGGCTGTTAACTTCATTTACATAAAGGGATTGGACTTACAATTGCAACGTGAAAAGCAAAAAGAAAGGTACACTGATGTAACAACTCTACCAGGTGCTCGTAGCTTTCATCAATTTATACATCTTGGAGATAATAGGGTTGGGGCGAAGAGGTGTAGTACAGACACTAAATATACAATAATTCACAATCTTAAAAAAAAACATATATTTGAACCTGATACTGTCACTTTAGGAGGTTATGTTGCGGTAGTTTATGATGATAAGTGGTGGATCGGCATTGTAACTGAAATCAACCTAGAAGAAGTTGATGCTGAAGTTAAGTTTCTCCACCCAAGAGGTCCATCAATCTATTTTAACTGGCCTGAAAGAGACGACCACTGTTTTATTCCTAACATCAATATATTGAAAAAACTATCTGTTCCACAAGCTTGCTCTAGTTCTGGTAGAAACTATGTGTTTGAAAATGTTGAAATAGAAGAAGTGCAAGTAAAATGGCAACAATATTGTGAACTATTACAAATACAGTCAAAATAACTTGAACATTCGATACCTTTAAAAATCTTGTATATTTAAGTAACTTTGTAAATTAGGAATAATTTATTTTAATTGAATTTATAAATATTTTTTAGGAATTTCTTAAAAAAGTTATACATCTTTAAAATTAAAGTTCTATATGTTTCAGTTTTTTTTCCAGTTAGATTTTTTGTGCCTAGTAAGATTATAACTAGCTTAAAATATTAAAAGCAAAAAAAAAAAAAATTTGACGGGGGTGTTTTGAGATATTGGGCCCTAAAGTTATATTATATAAACTAGTTGATTTATTAATTTTTAAGGATGTTCCTCTAACATTTCAGCATTTTAAGTACATTTATTGAATTCAGCATTCAAAAACCATTATAAATGTATATTTTTATATTTTTGCCATTTTTATTTCTTATTTTATTGAGGAAAACAACTTTTCAGAATGTTATGAAAACCGGGTCATTTTGAGAAACCAGGTCCAAATTAAATTTGCTGTATCTTGTCAACCGCTTGACATTTTTAGCTGAAATTTTGCATGCAATATTTTTTTATAAATAGGAATCATGTGTCAAAATATAAAACAAAAAGAAGACACATGGTTCAATGGAGTGGGTGATTTGATGTGGAATTACCCATTGTATACTTTGAGCAAATATATGAAATTATAATTTTTTAAAACACTGCGATGGAGGAAATTCTTCATGTTATTAGATGTCACTTCAAATTATCTTTAATGAGTCCATGTGGATCTAAGCTATGTTTGTGTCGAAGAAATGGCCTTTCTTGTGTTTCAACATATGGTGATTGCAAAGGTGTTGGTTGTGAAAACACAATTCAAGGTGACCCCGACAATATTTCTGATGAGGATTCACTCGATGATGGAAAAATATTCGATATAATTTCAAGTCCAGAAAAATTCACTCATATTGATATAATATTGATTTTTTTATATTGATATAAAAAAATCCTGAAAATACATAACAGTTTTAAATTTAATTGTTTAAGTTCACTTTTCTTTTAGTCATGACAAATCAAAATAAGACAAATAACAGTCATTAATAACATTTTACAGCTTAAAAAAAGCCTAATTTATGCAATATTGGCTGAAAATCCATAATTTTAAATTATTTTGATCCCCTGAAAAGTTTTAAATTTGTTTGATGAGGTTCACTTTTCCTTTAACCATGAAAAATCAGAATAGGATAGCCCAATTACAGTTATTAATAACATTTTACAGCCTAACTTGTGCAAAATTGGCTAAAAATCCACAATTTTTAATTATTTTTAGCCCCTGAAAATAACAGTATTAAATTGAAACCTCGAGGTTCACTTTTTTTTTAATTGTGACAAATCAAAAAAAGACAATCATTAATAACATTTTACAACCTATAACTAGCCTAACTTAGGGAAGATTGACTAAAAATCCGCCATTTTAATTTTATTTTTTGACATACCTGATATTATTTTTTCAAAAAAACTTATATTTTTGTTAACTTACTTATATATTTGATAAATATAAACTTAAATGAGATCAAATTAGCGACTGACAATGTCATATTTTTAATTTGAATAGAGGTGCTGTTTTAGGATTTCCTAAAACACCTTAATAATTGTGTATTTGTGTTTAATTTAAAAAACTTGACTTTTTTTTCTTTTTGTACTTCATAGTGTTTTGTACATTTAATGTTGTTTATAACTAGATATTTTATTATTTTATTGTACAAAGAAATAAAAAAAATTGCATTAGCTTGTTTTATTTTCAATTGGTGCGCAGCCAAATATTGAGGACCTTCTTTTTATTTTCCTTAAATAACCCATAAATGTCTCTGAGCGTATATAAATATGTACTAAGTAATTTTTTTGCAAAAAGTATTTAAAAAATACAGCAATGAAACACCTTTGCATGTTTTCCCTATATCACTTGACTGATGTATGTACTGAAGCCCTTAGTAGCTCCTTATGACGTCAGACTGATAATTTAAGTATACCCTTACACACATATATGTTATATATATATATATATATATATATATATATATATATATATATAATATATATAATATATATAATATATATAATATATATAATATATATAATATATATAATATATATAATATATATAATATATATAATATATATATATAATATATATAATATATATAATATATATAATATATATATAATATATATATATATATATATATATATAATATATGTATATATATATATAATATATCTATATATCTATATATATATATATATATATATATATATATATATATATATATATATATATATATATATATATATATATATATATATATATATATATATATATATATATATATATATGTATATATATATATATATATATATATAAAAGGAAGAATAGTAAATGAAAACTTACGTATTAACTATGCTGCAAAACATAGGAGTAAAGAAATTTTCTACAAGATAAAACCAGCAGCTTCCTGTAACTAATCCAATAACAACACCTATTAGTACTTGCTCAATTGTATGATAACGTAAGTAAACTCTAAAGGAATAAAACTTTAAACCTTCCAAACTTCAATCAACTATCCGAAAATATTGGTTTCTTACACATGAGAAAATTTTGAAATAAAATTGAAAAAATTACTAGATTCTATTAATAAACAAAATATGCCAGTTAGTACAAGTAAACAAAAGATGCATAAATAAAATTGTTACCGGCTAATACATACAATTACTGTTGATGCAAAAGAAAATAATGCTATGCCGTGTCTCCGAAGATTATCTGTAAATTTTTCAACTACATGAATCTTCATTCTAGACATAAAAACTCTTTTGCAACTTAAGAACTAATAGTTTCTAATATTCAACAAACAGAATGTAAATAATGACAAAATATGAATTTAAAAAAATAATATTTTGAAGTTAAAAATTTAATGTATATATATATATACATATATATATATATATATATATATATATATATATATATATATATATATATATATATATATATATATACATATATATATATACATATATATATATACATATATATATATATATATATACATATATATATATATATATATATACATATATATATATATATATATATATATATATATATATATATATATATATATGTATATATATATATATATATATATATATGTATATATATATGTATATATATATATATATATATATATATGCATATATATATATATATATATATATATATACATATATATATATACATATATATATATATATATACATATATACATATATATATATATATATATATATATATATATATATATATATATATATATATATACATATATATATATACATATATATATATATGTATGTATATATATATATATATATATATATATATATATATATATATATATATATATATATATATGTATATATATAATATATATATATATATATATATATATATATATATATATATATATATATATATTATATATATATATATATATATATATATATATATATATATATATATATATATATATATATATATATATATATACAAACCTCAGAATTAGGAAAAATTGCACCAAAAACTTGCAATTTATCTTGCATGAGTCCAACTCTCAAATTATGGAATTCACAAAACTTCTTAAGAAAATGCTCAGCTTGGCTACCTTAACTTTGAATTTTTTTAAGAAAATACTCAGCTAGGAGCTACCTTAACTTTGGCGCAAATTTAAAATATTGGCGCAGCTCCCATATATTGATGTTTTTGTTAAGATTTGTGATTGGATTTTTTAAAATTTGTGATAAATATAGTGTAAATGTGCCTATAAATTATTGAATACTATACTATAGTATACTCTATATTCTATAGTCTATAGAGTATGTCACATATATACTATGTATAGTCATATACTTTATTACAAAGTTTATTATTTTTTGCAAACATACACATACCTATACATAGAGTGTCACATACATACAAAATGACATTATAGACTATTAATTATATTTATAGACTATTAATTATATTATATCTATATTAATTATATTTATAATTAGTAAACAACATTTTAACAGAGTATGTAGTTATTAATAAATATATGCTCTGTTAAAATTTATAGATTAAAAAATACTTCTTATTAAACTATAGCAGTTTAATCAAAGTAGTTTAATCTATAAGCTATAGTTCCTTTTGCAGTAATATATTAATGCCTAAGGAACTATAGCCTATAGATTAAAGTACTTTGATTAAAGTTTAATGAGAAGTATTTTTTAATTTATAACTAGTTCCTATTGCAGTAATAACTACATACTATGTTAAAATGTTGTTTACTAATTAGTCTATGTCACTTTGCAGTAGCAACTACATACTCTGTTAAAATGTTATTTACTAAATAGTCTATATGTTTTGTCAATTTAATTTATAAAAGATAGCAAACTTTTCTATGTAAGTTTTAAAAAAATTCTTATTTTATTCTATTAACAATTAATGTTTCTTAATAAAGAATAATGTTGTTAGTGTGTGCTTACAAATAAATAAGCTGTAAATAGGTTCTATTCAAACTTTTATTTTAAAAGGAAAAGTTAATATTCCTAATATCAAGTTCAATAAATTTATGTTTATTAAAAGATTAAGTTAAGTAGTTTTATGTTTAATAAAATATATTTATAATGTATAACATGGAGAATTAAATTCATAAAAAATTTGTTATAATTATTGTCAGTTAATTGAGCTTTATATTACCTTTTTAACATGAATATAATTCAATGTATATATATAATTCAATGTGTATACACACACACAGATATATATATATATATATATATATATATATATATATATATATATATATATATATATATATATATATACAGTGCTCCAAGTGGAGAAAAAAAAGTAACGGGAGAGTATTTGGCAAATAAAAAATACAATCCTGCCTGGTCATTGTTATATATTGAGATTTATATAAAGGTGGTGGGATGGTTTATACTTTATAAAAAGGTGAGGGAAGGCATCACTTCGAGCACTGTATGTGTGTGTGTATATATATATATATATATATATATATATATATATATATATATATATATATATATATATATATATATATATATATATATATATATATATATATATATATATATATATATATATATATATATAGAGAGAGAGAGAGAGAGAGAGAGAGAGAGAGAGATAGATATAGATATATGAGTGTGAGATGAAGTCTATTAACATAAATATAGATAATATATAAAAAAAAATTTAAGTTCTTTGTTGTTATTTAATTGCACTGAGTGCTTATGGAATATGAAGTTCTAAACCAGTAAAAAAAGTTTCAAATAAAAATTTTAATGATTTTTGATATAAATCTATATTTAGTAATTGCATGAAATTGGAAAAGGACATTACAAAAGCTGTGGTTTCGTGAATTTGAGGCATCATTTTCAGAATTAAGACATTCAATGTGTTGTGGAACTATTAATACCTGGTGCTAATTCCAAGCAGACAATATTATTTAAACAAATAGAAAAACCAAGATAGCCTGTTGTAATTACATAATCAAGCTAATATTTTTTGATTTATCTGATGTGAACATGTTAAAAGGTGCCTTCATGAAAAAACTCAAAACAATAAAAATCTTTTAAATGGAAAAATTTAAAAATGGTTTTCAAAAGATAAAGTGGTAAACTAAATGTTCATTTAGAACTAATAATCCTGGTAATAATTATTTTACATTTTGCAATCAAAAAGATAAAAAATTAAAACTATAGCAAAAAAAATCAAGTGATAAAATAAACCAACATTGGAAACAAATTAGATCCAAATGAAAACTTTTTTATTTTGTAAATATGATAAACTTATTAAAGAAAGAATTTTTTTTGATTTTATTCTTGAGCAGAGTTATGTTCTAAAGTGAGAGATTTTGTGATAAATTTTGGCTAATTAGTTGTTTCTGCTACAACATCTTCATGCTTTAAGCTGATTTTGTTACAATGAGTATCTTGTTATATTATAAGTAAACACTAAAGGTTTGAGCTTTCATTAGATCAATCAATATCTCAATACCTATTGATGAATCTCCTGGTTTTTTTATGGTTTGTGACACAAAACTAGGGTCCAAATGTGAAATTTTATTTTTATTTTTTTCAGCAAATATAAATAAGCAAATATAATAAAGCAATTTTTTAATTTTATCTGAAAAATAATATTTCTTGAAAATAAATGATTTTAGAAATTTGACCACCTTAACTTATTGCAGTTGTTAAATAGATGTTATTAAATTTATTGCAGTTAATAAATATTTATCACAGGTAGTAACTAATACTCTTATAGCAGTTTTCACTCAACTTGATTATAAATCATTAAAAGCCCTAACTAAAATTTTAATTAATTTCTAAAACAATAACTCTTTTAATAGTTGCAAAGGCTAACAACAACAAATATTTTTTGTTGCTGAACTAACAATACGATTTATTATACCATTTCTCAGGGGTAAAAGTTCATAATAATGTAAAAGTAGGTTTAAAAAACTTCACTTTAATAAAAAAACTTCACTCTAAAAAAAAAAGTTGCTATAGTAATTGCAAAAGTAGTTGAGTATATATAATAGCTGCTCTATTGATGCATTTATACTACCTTATTTATTTTAGTTTAAATGTAAACAAATGAAATCTCATTTTTTTATAATTTAAATTAAACTTACTATAAATTTGCATACGATTTCCGCAAGTTACACAAGAGTTACGAAAGTTTTGTGAATAAGCACACCAGGAATTTTGCACTTAATTAGCCTTGTCATAACTTTTTTTTAATGGTGGTCTTGCTTTTAATGAGTTTTTATGGTGGTCTTGCTTTTTCCTTCATACTTGCTTTTGCAGTTGTTCAAGATTAAAAGTTAGAATAAAAGAATAAAAAATAAAGTTAGCAGCCATGGCGCAGTGGTAGCGCACTTGCCTCAATAAAAAGATACATGGTTCAATCCCCACCTCTGAACAACTCCCTATTAAATACTCATAGTGCTATGTGACTGTTAGGGGCACATAAATAAAAATAAAAATCAAAAAATAAAAGGAAAATCTGTCTCTTCTCTTCACTTCACACTGGCAACATCGATCTTGTCCTTTATGAGCTTAATAGTTTTTATTTTTAATTCACCCTTTTACTTTAGTTGCTTAAATACGCCAGTAAGTCCAAACGATCTAATCAAAGAGCACCGCAGAAGAACATTCAACAGGAAATTCACATCTCCTTTTCTACTGATGTAGTACTACTTGTCTAAAGCTGGCTTTAAAACACAGATGGGCTACTACTGCGCTATGGCTACAGTTCTTTCAGACCAATGATTAACATCAGCAAGATGAAAAGCAACATTCTGAAATTTTGGGTAAAAATTCTTGTAATTGTAGTATTTTGAAGCTAAGGGAAGCGGGTTTTACTTTGGCTATCATAAGGAACAAAAGCAATGAATTTTCTGTGACCAATTGAAATATGCTTGGAGGCTTCGATCCACTGAAATCTAAAATATTGAGGACCGCTATGCTTGCTCTTCTAAAGGCTGATGGATATTTGTCCATAGTGTTTGAGCAATTTTATCTTTTTCGTCACAATTATTTATCAGCTAAGCACAATAAGATAAGCATCCATAACTGTGTGTGCCGTTTAATAGATTTAAAGCCTGATTCTGCTCAAATTTGATTTTACTTGCTAAAGAGATTTCATATCATGGATAAGAGAAAAAGTTGTTATATTCTTTGTTTAGAAAAAATTATGCTTTATAGTTATCAAAATCATTTTTTTCATACTGGAATCCTTGTATACTATATTTACGCATTTCATATTTTCTAAGTTGATACTTACCTGACATGGAGCAATAAAGGCTAGTTCAGCTTTAAGAAAATAGTAGTTTAGAAGGCAGCCACAAAAGTTCCGAATTCATTAATCTAATAAGATTGGCTATTTCACCCATCAAAAACTGGAGCTTTAGATAGTAGATACCAAAAATGAATTTATAAATACTTGATTAATAAATAAGTATATATAATAAATTTATTAAAGTTATTATATATGCTTATTTATTATCGAGCTACTTTTTTAGAGAATCACTGCTGATAATATTTTGATGAAGTTTCTTCAGAAATTCATAATCTTCTCAACACCGTTTTACTCAAAATTTGAGAAAAAGAAATTTTGGCACTAAAGTTAAAAAAATATATATGTGCTAGAGAAAAGTAGTATTTTACAAAAATGGTAACCAATTATATAAAACTTACATGATTCTATTTATCAAGATCATTCCATGCTTATTTTACATCAAGATAATTCTATGCTTTTCACACATGGTTTCTGGACCCTTGTCTTATTGTGCTATAGTCCTAGCTGGTAAAAAATGTGAAGAAAGAGTATCCATCAACCCAAATGAGAGCCATTATTAAGGTCCTCAATTCTTTAGATTTCAACTTGTATTTCTTATCATGTCAAAGTAAAGGTGACTGTCAATGGATGAACCCCCATCCATTAAATTTTGCACTTGCAATGATCTCTATCTAAAATTTTAGGATGCTGTTTTTCATCTTGCTGTTCTTAACAACAACAACAACAACAACAACAGCAACAACAAGCAGTTTATTTTCTGTAAATTATTTTTGAATAGTAATAATAAAAATAGTAATAAATAAAAAAAAAATTAATGACTGTAATGAAAGAACTGTTAAGCTCTTAGGACAACAATGAATTTGTTAGAAATGTAAAGAGGACACAACTTTTGCTTTTATTCTTAAACAATTACATAAGCAAGTATGAAGAAAAGGCCTCCAAAAGAAACAAAAAAACAATGAATAATTATAACAAAATATTTTTTTTTTAAACAATAATTTTATAAAAAGTTTGTTTTATGAATTTGCTTGGCGTTTTGTGAAACAGATATGTTATGCTTCTTGTGAAACAGATATGTTGTGAAACAGATATGTTATGCTTCTTGTGAAACAGATATGTTGTGAAACAGATATGTTATGCTTCTTTCAAAAATCTTAAAAAAAGCTTTTTTTTGAGTTTTAGAACTTGCTCAAACGTGCCAAAAATGGGCTAAAAAAATGGGTTCGAAAGTCTAAAATAGGACTTTTGAGGCACTTGAGCAACCCTTAAAAGTGGTCCAAATTCAAAATAAAAATTTTTACTAATAAAGTATGTGTCTGCACAGCAGATAAGTCTCCATGGTACTTTTAATTTTTTCATGACATTCTAATATATATATATATATATATATATATATATATATATATATATATATATATATATATATATATATATCTGTGTGTGTGTGTGTGTGTTTATATATAAAATTTTAATTTTTTTTTCTATTTATGTTAAAAAGCAAATCTTATATATGCAATATACCTTATATATGCAAACAAAACCATATAGACAGCAAAAAAACTCATGAATTGTGCATGGTTAGACGGCATACCGTGCTTTGACATCAGAAGCTTGGAATCTCCAGCTGAAAAAAATAATTATAATATATAAAAACTATTTAAAAAATATAATTTTAATATAATTATAGACAATTAAAAGTATAAATTAGAGATGCACCAAAATAGATTTTTTAAAATTCCAACCAAATCTGGCGAATTCAAACGCAAATTACAGCAGGACAACATTTTTATAAAATAAGACATTGCGCTGCCAATTTAAATTGGAGTTCTTAAATACGTGCGTTTTTAAACTCTTTTTTTTAATGAATATAAATATGATTGATTTTAATTTAAATTTTATAATAATTCGTTTTTAATGCAAACCTTTCTTGTAGAAGTATTTTATAATTAAATTTTTAATTATAATTATCATGTAAGAGTGCATATATATATGTGTGAGTATATATATATATATATATATATATATATATATATATATATATAATATATATATATATATATATATATATATATTTAAACAACTTTAAAAATGTATTCTAAAAAATACAGTGTTTAATGTTCTTAAAAGAACAGAGCAATTATAAATTAGTAGAAAATCACTTAACAAAAATATTTTTCACTGTGTTTCATCAACAAAGACTCATCATTTCTGATGAGTCTTTGTTGATGAAACACAGTGTAAAATTTATTATATATTATTTGAAATAAAAATAATTTATATTATGTTATTGTTATATTATAAAATCAGTTGTGTCATTTTTTTATTTAAAATACATTAAATGCTTGCAACACAAATGAACAGAATTAGGGGAAAAAACAAGTATTTTAATATAATTAAGCATTTAGACCAGGCATGCCCAACCTGCATTCCTTAGCCCGTGTGCAACCCATTTTAAAATATTTTGCGGCCTAATTGAAATTTTCAACTGTCTATATAGTTTTCAACTGTCTATATAGTTTTCAACTATCTATATAGTTTTCAACTGTCTATATAGTTTTTAACTGTCTATATAGTTTTCAACTGTCTATACAGTTTTCAACTGTCTATATAGTTTTCAACTGTCTATATAGTTTTCAACTGTCTATATAGTTTTCAACTGTCTATAACTATAGTTTTGGTCATTTTGACTAAATATAATTAAAATAAAAAAACTTTATAAAATACTTTTATATATTTTAGAAAGTTATAATTTATATTTATGGCTATTGTGAAGTTATCATTAGGGATTGTAATCCCGCACACTATTCAATCTTTAATTTTTTAATTTATGTGTGGATCCCGCGCGGGATTGGTAGATTTCTTATGCACGTTATAAAAGGCAAAATGACAATTGTATTTTTCTTTCAAGTATTTCAAAAAATATATACTCAACTTATTAAATTGATGAGGTAAATGAAACCAAAAACACAATTTATATAAATCAATATAATTCTTAACATTTAATGAACAAAAAGATAAGATAAAAATACGTAAAACATCTTAAGAAACAGACCCTATTTAAAGTATCATCACATAATCTACTCCTCAAAGGACTGCATATATAGCCAGCAGCTGAAAAAGATCGATTAGCCTCTACGCTTGTTGGTGATATGGTCATCAAGTAATTATGAGCTATATCTAGAAACTTGTCTCTTACTCCGTTATTTTCATAGGCAGACATTTCCTGATTCAATAATTTTTCAAAGTCTAAAGAATCTAAATTTGGTATCTCCTTTACATTTATCCAGCTTTTCTTGTTTTTCTGCATATGATTTTCCAATTCTTTTTTCAGCGATAGAATTTTAGGAGTAAGTATTTAGGAATTGTTAATAGAATCTACAGCTTCTTTTTCTTCAAGTTCATTTTCTTCATCTTTATTTCTTTCAATTGTATAAACTCTTATTAATATTTATTTCTTGATGCATAACGGTTTCCTTTGGCATTGAACAAGTACTTTCATTTTTTTAAATTTCTTGTTCATATTTTTTAGAATTTGTAAATAAACCAGTAGTCCATTTAAATTCTTATTACGACATTGTGTAAAACCTCTCACGAAGTGCTGCGGCTAAATCAATGCTCAAAAGTGATGATTGCTTTTGTAATTTATCTAACATAAATTGAAAAGTTGTTTCCGCAGTGACAAGGTTCGATTCTGTCCCACATAATTGCTTGAGACCAAGTTTTAGTGGTACCATGCAAATAATTAAGTCATTGATTTGGGACCATTCTTCTTGGATGAAACGAATTTCTGACCCAATATCAATCAAGGCTTTTTTACACACTTTTAGTCTATGAAATCTTTCTAACATATCGAACATACTGTTCCACCTAGTTTCACAATCAAGAATCAACTTAAGCTTTTTTCTGTGTTCATGTAGGATATACTTCTGTAAATATGTATCATTTTTGACAGGAGAGTTTTTAAATATTTTCACAACCTTTCCCACTTTTTTCATGAAATCTTTCTAATTGCTAACCAATTCAGCAGGTGGTTGGTCCAAAGTTATTTGAAAATTACAAAAAAAAATTGAACAAGTTTCTCAGTATACATTTCATTGTGCATTTTTTGACTAGTAAATTTTTAAATGGATTTGTTACGCAAATACATTAAATGTATATATATATATATATATATATATATATATATATATATATATATATATATATATATATATATATATATATATATATATATATATATATATATATATATATATATACATATATATATATTGATGAATGGCAATCCTCTTACTGAGTCCTCCTCTTTACGTCTTCTTGGATTATCGCTTACTACTGACCTTTCATGGAAACCATATATACAATCGATTGCTAAATTAGCTTCTGCTAAGGTTGCTTCTCTTTATCGTGCTCGCCATTTCCTTACTTCTGATTCCATTCTCTACCACTACAAATCTCTTATTCGTCCCTGTATGAAATACTGTTGTCATATTTGGGCTGGTTCTTCTAACGATTCACTTTCTCTTCTTGACAAAGTCCAAAAACGCATTGTAAATATTGTTGGACCTGGACTATCTGCTAAGCTTGAACCTCTTTCCCATCGTCATAAAGTTGCATCTCTTTCTCTTTTCTATAGATACTATCATGGTCACTGCTCAAAGGAGTTATCATCTCTAGTTCCATCAACTAAAATTCATTCTCGTTTTACTCGTCATTCAGCTAAGTCTCATTCGTTTACTGTATCTGTTCCTGCATGCTCTAAAAACTTTTATTCATCTAGTTTTTTTCCCCGCACTTCAATCCTTTGGAACTCTCTCCCATCTTCATGTTTTCCTGACTCATACAACCTTCAACTTTTCAAGTCTTCTGTCAACCGTTTCCTTGCTCTATAACTCTGTTCTTTTTTTTTCTAGTAACTCCCAACTTAATAGCGGTTGCTTGCAGCCTTGTTGGGAGTGAATGGAAATAAAAAAAAAAAAAAAAATACTTTAATTTGATATCTTTTTTCTCTTTTTTGTTTTTTAGATAATTAAAAAATTGCTTTTTTTTTTTATTTAAAAGCAATAATTTAAAAACTCAACAAATCACGCGGATCCCGCAGTCGTTTTTGCGGGATCTTGCATGTACTAAAAAATGTGGGATCCCGCGGAATTGCAATCCCTATTTATCATTAATTTTAAACAAATAATTAAGGTATTGTTTATTTAGAAAACACAAGCAAACAATGCCTTTGAAATTCTAACTTCCAAAATGTTTAATTTGTTGTTTTATTTGTATGTGTGGTGCACCTCAGGGTTAGGCATCCCTGATTTAGACCAAATTGCAAAAAGTCAAAACAAAACAACATGTCAAATACACAGTTCACTAGAAGATGAAAATAGCCACAAATAACAACAGAAAATATGTATTACCAAGTATTCTTAACAATTACTTCCAAAACCCACAGATGACAAAATTCCAGTGTTCAAAAAAGAGAACTGACTTAAGACATGAATGATTAAAATATCAAATTCACTAATGTCAACACAGGCTGAAAAGCCTTCTACAGGCCTTGCGATAAAGCGTCGGGCGATGTGAATTTTACGTCGTCCAAGAGCGATTTTGCGTGTAGCTAGGGCTATTTGCGTCGAGCAAAAAATTTTTTGTTTGAGTATATTTAAAGATATTTTTGAGCGGAATTTTAATGAAGTAATTTACGATTATTTTAACATTTAATAAAGTATTTTAAAAACCGCACGCAGTTGAAATAAAAGTTTGAATTTAAAAAAATTAAATATGCTCATTATTTACAAGTAGAAAAAATTCAAAAATTAAAAAAAAGTTTAAATCTTTTAAGCTAACATTTTAATAAAATTATTCAGCAATAGCAACGTTGTCAATAAAATTGAACAAAAATACTTTCTTTTAGTTTTAGATTTTAAACTTAAATAATTATTTTACGGGGGTTTGATAGGTTTTAAAATTATTCCATAGATTTAAAAATATTTATCAACTGTTAGACGTATTTAAAGTATTTAAGAGTAATTTCGAGGAAACATTTTAAAAATTGGTGAGGGCAAATAAAAAAAAAAAGGATTAATATTAAAACGTATTCTACTTGATTCAATAAAAAAAGTACAGTTATTAAAATTTTTGTCAAAAAAATTACTTAAATAATAACGATCGCTTTTATGTTAAAAGTTACCGAAACTCAACAAAGCGTGCTCAAGAACAGCTGCTGAAAAATAGAACGTCAATAGTTTTTCGAATAATTTTTAAGAATAATTTTTAAGAATAATTTTTTCGCTGAAATATTTCTTTTATACCTATGAGATTTTTATTCTAACATTTTCTTTTATTTTACTAGAAATAAAATTCCTTGTTAACATTAAAAATCTACTCAAAACGTTCGTTTAAGTTTTTTATTAATACGAGTGATTATCAACCGCTTTATGAAAATAAATAAAAATAAATAAATATTATATAAAATCGCTTGTAAAAATATTAGCTATTGCACAGTTTTTAATTGTACAAAATTAAAATTTCCAGTTTATTACTCGCTGACTTTTTAAAAAGTAAAAATAAATATTTGAAAAACTTTAAATTACATATTTAAGAAGAAAAAAAATCAAATATTAGCATATT